CCAGCAGAGGAGCCTGGTCCACTTGTCTCTTGCCCAAGGAATTCTTGGGACCCACTGCCCTGTGTGAGCTGCTCACTTTCAGGGTCACCCTCGCTCCATTTTGAACCTGGAGACTGACGGCTGAGGATGCCGGTCCCTGGCTGCTGTGTTTTAGGGACACAGCAGCATTCACCTCCATCATTATCACGTCTGTCTCTCCACTGTATCTGTGGTTGCTGTGGGTTTGAAACACAAGGGTCCATTCATGTGAGCACCCAGAGCCTTCCTGATAGACTGGGTGCTTGGATGGATTTTAAGAGAGGGAGTGACTTAATTACTTCTGAATTTGAGGAAGATCATTTGTAGGGTGAACAGACAGGGCAGAACCCATCCAGGGGCAGGGAGGCCAGCCAGGGTCCACTGCAGCAGCCCTGGGCAGATATGAGACAGGAAGGAGGGCCGGGCACAGAGACGAAACGTGTGAACAGGGCTTGTCCAGAGAGGTGCAGGGCTGGGCTGCAGTCCAGGCTAGCGTGGGGCTGGGACCTAGCTCTGACTGCCCCATGCAGAGCGTGTGCTGATCTGAGGGCAGCCGGCTGCAGCCAGCATAATGGGTGGCCATGGAGAAGGCTGCGGCTCTGCCCTAAGGAAGCCTATGGGGCTTGGGACAGGAGGGAGCAGAGAGCGCCCTGGGTCAGGAGCCAGAATCCCAGGAAAGTCAGGGAAGGATGAGAACTCAAAGTATCGGGCAGCCTCTTCGAGACTGAGTGGTTCGGGTCCCAAGCAGTTGATTCTCACCCCAAATCTGACCTCCACTCGGCCTGACCAAAGGCAGAGGCGGCATCTCCAGTAGCAAGGTTTCACGGCACAGACTCTGAGGCCAGACACCTGGGTATGGCTCGCAACTCTGAGGATCAGTGCTTCTGGGCCCCAGCGTCCCCATCTGTACCATGGGCTAACAACAGTCCCTGATGCAGAGGCTGCTTCCTGTGAGGCCTGAAACTGACCAATGCCGAGCAGGAACAGGTGGCAGCCAGCGCTCTCCTAGGTGGTCCTATCTCATTCTGCAGTTCCCCGCATGGACCTTGCAGGGGTTCAGAGCTACTGGAATATTCCTTCCATGGTGAATGAGTCACTCTGGGACACTGCTGGACTCGACGTCTGCTTCTGCTGCAGCCCCTGTTGCCATTTAGCATGGCTCCAAGCACCTCCCGGGCTGGCCGTCCCGCACCTGCCCTGCTGAGGGCGAGTGTCACTTTCTGGGGAGCCGCGTTGATGGCAAAGTCACCAATCATGTTTCTTCACAAAAATCCACACCCTTACCGGATGACCCTGGGCTCCTGACTGGTTCATGACGTGACATTTCTGGGGGCAGCTGCTGTTGTCGGGTTTCTGGGATCTGACAGACACTTCACTGACAGGTTCAAGGTCCAGCAGTCTGTGCAGCACCGTTCTTGTTGGTATTTATTTATGTATTTATTGGAGATGGAGACTCGCACTGTCACCAGGCTGGAGTGCAATGATGGGATCTCGGCTCACTGCAACCTCTGCCTCCCGGGTTCAAGCAATTTGCCCACCTCAGCCTCCCAAGTAGCTGGGATTACAGGCATGTGCCACCACACCTGGCTAATTTTTTGTATTTTTGTAGAGACAGGGTTTCACCATGTTGGCCAGGCTGGTCTTGAAGCCTTCCTCTGCCCTTCCAGGAGAAAACGGCTCTCTCCCTCTGCCCTGATTTCCTGCAGCCCTTCATTTAGAATTCTCTCATGACTCATGACATTTTTGAACCAGTTAGAGTACGCTGTAGCCATCCTGACCTCAGGTGATCTGCCTGCCTTGGTCTCTGAAAGTGCCGGGATTATAGGTGTGAGCCACCACGGCCAGCCTCGGTCTTCTTTTAAAATAAACTTTAATAAGGATTTTTATTCCAGGATGTGCTGTAATTGCAAGTTCTATCTATTTAAGTCATCGCATATGTTTACACTAATTAGGTAATTAGATGTAATTATACTAATTGTATAAATGCACAATAATTGACTAAGATACATTAAATACTTTGAGAGAACAAAGAGAATCCACCCAGAATGCCTTCCCAAATATTAAGGATGAAGCTGAACCCCAAGAGAGGACAGGAGGGTCATCATGGGAGCCCTGGGCTGCAAGCGGGGCCAGGCCTCACCGTGCACACGCAGGTGCTCAGACGCTGCCACAGAATGGAAAGGACTTTTCTTTTTTTTTTTGAGATGGAGTTTCACTCTTGTTACCCAGGCTGGAGTGCAGTCGCGCGATCTCGGCTCACTGCAATCTCCGTCTCCTGGATTCAAGCAGTTCTCCTGCCTCAGCCTCCCAAGTAGCTGGGATTACAGGCACACACCACCATTTCTGGTTAATTTTATATTTGTAGTAGAGACAGGGTTTCTCTATGTCGGTCAGCCTGGTCTCGAACTGCCGAACTCTGGTGATCCATTCGCCTTGGCCTCCTAAAGTGCTGGGATTACAGGTGTGAGCCACCGCGCACAGCTGGAACCGACTTTCTTGAGGTGATTAGGCTCAGGGCCACAGAGGAGACTTGGTTCGCACCGCAGCCTCACTTAGCTCTTTGACTTCATTGGTTTTTGGACATGTTGAAGGACAATAATTAAGTCATTCTTCTGCTCAAAGATATTCCATAGCTCCCCACTGTCTAAGAATAAAGCTCCACTGTGGCAGTCTGCCTTCAGGCCCTCCAGGACGAGGTTCCGACATCTGTCTTGACCCCCTACTGCGGTCCAAAAGCCCCGCTGACTGCTCTGGGTGTGTGGAGTCCTTTCCCACACCCACGCCACTGCCCATGAAGTACCCTCTGGCTGGTGAGTCCCCCTCTGCCTCCTGTTCTCTGCTGGATCCTAGCAACTCCTCTACCCCTGCAGACCATGACCCTTCCCTCCAAAGCCTTCCTCAGTCCTTCCAGGAGAAAACAGCTCTCTCCCTCTGCCCTCACCTCCTGCAGCCCTTCATTTAGAATTCTCTCACGACAATGACATTTTTGAACCCGTTAGAGTACTTTGTAGCCACCTCTGTCTCTACCCATGGAAGCGAGTTTCCCGAGGGCAAGGATCATGGCTGCCTGCATCCTGATGTCCCCATCCCTTGGCACAGAGCCCAGCAGGGAGCAAACTCGAAGGCATACTGAACAACTAAAGGAAAAAGTGAAGGGATGGATGACAGGTTTCCTTTGGTAATGACAGTATGTTGATGGGAAGAATTGTTGGGAGCTGCAGGGGCCCGGGGGTTCGGGGTGGGGTGCTGCTGTTGGGGACAGGGTGGTTAGAAACCACTGCTGGGGGACAACATGTCCCAACTCAGTCTTGTGAAACGAAGGGCATAGCAGGGAGGGAAAAGGAAACTGAATCTGAGCTTGGTGGGTCACACTTGTAATCTCAGAACTTTGGGAGGCTGAGGCAGGAGGATCACTTGAGGCTTGAGGCCAGGAACTGGAGACGAGCCTGAGCAACATGGAGAGACTCTGAGATATGGTTTGGCTGTGTTCCCATCCAAATCTTATCTTGAATTCCTATGTGTTGTGGGAGGGACCTGCTGGGAAGTAATTGAATTATGGGGCAGGTCTTTCCCATGCTGTTCTCGTGAGAGTGAGTAAATCTCATGAGATCTGATGGATCTAACAATGGGTGTTTCCCTGCACAAGCTCTCTCTTTGCCTGCCACCATCCATGTAAGATGTGACTGGCTCCTCCTTGCATTCTGCCATGATTGTGAGGCTTGCCCAGCCATGTGGAACTGGTGAGTTCTCCATTAAACCTCTTTCCTTTGTAAATTTCCCAGTCTTGGGTATGCCTTTATCAGCAGAGTGAAAACAGACTACTACACCCTGTCTCTACAAAACATTAAAAAATTAGCCACAAGTGGTGGTGTGCACCTGTGGTCCCAGTTACTTGGGAGGCTGAGGTGGGAGGACTGCTTCAGCCTGGGAGGTTGAGGTTGCAGCAAGCTATGAGGGTGCCATTGCACTCCAGCAAGGGTCAAAGAGTGGGACTCTATCTCAAAAGAAGAAAAAAAGGAATAAAGAAAAAAAAGAAATGGAAACCATGTGGGAAGCACTGAATGGAAAAGACCCAGAGAGGAGGGTGAGGGCTGGTGCTGGCCTAGGCTGCCGAGGACCAGGCTCCAGCACCTGGCAAGGACTTCTGGCAATTACACCCCATCCTGAATCGGTGCTGCCACCACCGATTCAGCAAAGGAAGGCCCTGAGTCAGCTGCTGTCCCCGTCAGTGCAGACGCTGTGGGTCCACTGTGTATTTGGATGGTTCAATATGAGCTTATTTATCTGGCCTCCTTCAGAGGGTGTGTGGGGGAGGTGGAGTTACAGGCAATTTCTGGCAAGTTCTCCAGGAAGTTTCAGGAGACAACTGCACCTCTCACGCCAGCCAGGGGCACAGCTACTTCTACAGTGCCCAGGGTCCTGCTCTGGTCACCTCTACACACCCAGGACTGGCCATGGCAGAAAAGAGGCACAGGCTGCTTCAGGGCTGGGAGCCCCTTTCCCTCCTAGACTCAGGACGGAGGGGCCCATAGCTGGGGACCCTGGGATGGGGTGTAATGGCCAGAAGTCCTTGCCAGGTGCTGTCCAGGGGGCTCAGCAGACATGAACTCATGGAATCCTCCCAGCAGCCCTGGGAGGAAGGATGCCCTGCCATTCCCACCTTACAGATGAGCAAACAGACGCAAATTGCCCACGGTCACACTGCTGGAAATGGGTAGTGCAGGACCCAGGAAGAACGGTTCTAGAACCTGTGCTAACCACCGCCCCACACTGCCGTTCAGCCAACTTCTCCCTGAGATAGGACAGCCAAGACCTGGGCTTGCTGGGTGAGGCCCTACCCTGGGCCCCCACTGCACAGAGCAGCTCTGCCTGTGGCTTGTCAGGACCATCCCACAGTGAAGCTATCCCCGCCATGCACAGCAGCCTCAGATGGCACCCATGGGCTGAGCAGGGCTTGGGCCCTCCGGAGAAGGCCATCCTACCTCAGGGTTCTCCTGGGTCGGGGGCCGGTCTTCCTTCTTCTTTTTGGTGGCCTGAGCTCCCTGAGATGGCTCCTCCGTGGGTGGCCGTGACTCTGCCGTGCTCTCGGGCTGTGCCTGCACTTGAGGCTGAATGATGATGACCTGGAAGATGCCGTGGAGGGGTGAAGGGGACAGTGATGGGGAGGGAGGTGTAAGGACAGGTGGAGGGGGCTGAGAGAGAGGGTGAGGGGCACAGGGAGGAAGGGAAGAGTGACAGGGCCGGGGGGGTAGCTGGTAGGGCACGTGGCAGGGGTTGAGGAATAGAGTCTGGGCCGGGCTATCCTGGGAGGGCGGATCCCCGGGAACCGGGTGGTTTGCACCACGGTGTGTCCAGCACCTGCCCCTCCTGACACACCTTTTCCACCATGGGGAGGGCCTGGCTTAAGAATCTGGAAGTCCTGGGTTCCTGCCATGCCCCACCGTTTCCCAGCTGTGTGGCCTCAGGGAAGTCACTGCTTCTGAGATTCAGGTTGGTCATCAGTGAAAGTGGCCATGCCTCTCCCCAGGGAGGCTGTGCACATTCAGGCAGCAAGGACTTCTCATCCCCAGCCCAGAGGCAGGTGAACTGAGGCCACGAGAGCTCAGACTTGCTCCTTGCCATCCGGTCAGGAGGCAGAGGTCCTGGGAAGTCCCCCAGGTCAGTCAGGCCGCACTTCTCCTTCCCCTTGTCACAGGGTCTGAGACACTCAAGCCTGGCTTGGGGGCACAGGTGGGAATAATGTTCTATTTTTTTACTTCCATGAGGCCCTTCGCGCGGTGGATGGGGGAGGGGACAGGGGTCTCCGAATGCCACCCTTCGGCACCCCCCCCCCCCACACCAATTAGCCAGCCTTCCTCAGGACTCAGGGGATGCTCTGGTTTGATGAAAGGGTGTGATGCTGAAAACCTGCCTGAAATGCACCTATCCAGCCAGCCTCTCCCGGGGCCAGGATCTACTCCATCTTTAGCTCTACCATTTTATTTCTTTGGACAGGAAACTGGGAAGGAACTGTTGGATTTCACGAGGAAGAGGAATTCTCTGGGATCCATCAGCCGCAGTCTGGCTCAAACTAGGAATTACTTGAACTTGGGTGTTTTTCTGTTTTCCCCTAAGCACAGGTGGTGACTGCCTTATGATTTTGAGGCTTTTGGGCACAAAAAGAAAACATGTCCCATTTTTCTGCTGGCTTAAGAGAAGCTCTGTCTTCCTCTTTCTATCACATTTTTAAAACCTCATAATCTGCATAGAAAAAAATCTCTCTTTATATTCATGGGAAGAAAAACATTTAAGATCTCCAATAGAAAAAAAGGGCAGAGAATATTCTTAAGTCCCAAATGAGAAGACTGAACTCTTAAGAAGTATAAGAAAAACATTCAAGCTTAACAGCAACCAAGGGAATTCAACTTTTAACAATGAGGCATCTGTGTGCCTAGTAAATGAGCAAAAATGGTGTTTAAACGGCCAACATGAAACGCTGGTGCAGTTGCAGTGAAAAAGACACACTCATTCCAACATCTGCTAAGCACCTAGCCTGGATCAGGCACCTTCCTGGGATACACCTGCCATCCCGCCACAGCCCATGACAACTCCTCAGACTGTGAATTCTTTGAGAGTGGGTGGGAGGGCCTGCAAGCGCAGGACTCCCGGGAAGCACTCGGTGCCACAGCACCAGGTCACATGAGGGTTAGCCGTCAACATCCAGGCTGGGGAGGCAGAAGGCACCCCAGCCATAAGCAAGAGAGGGGTGGCCTGGCAGACCCCAAATGAGGCAGAGAGAGAAAGAGGCCATAGACAGGAGGTGGCAGGGATGAGGCAGCCCCGAAGGCCTCAAACAGCATAAATAACCACCAGGAGCTCGGAGGGAACAGCGGGAGGACCTTAGTTTTAGTTTTAAATCTTGGCAAAGAAATTATGGGAGATTGTGCACTTGGGCAGTGGGGTAAAGACAGCCTTGGCCAGGTACTGTGGCTCACACCTGTAATCCCAGCACTTTGGGAGGCTGAGGCGGGAGGATCATGAAGTCAGGAGCTTGAGACCAGCTTGACCAACATGGTGAAACTCCGTCTTTATTAAAAATACAAAAACTAGATGGGCATGGTGGCACTCGCCTGGAATCCCAGCTACTTGGGAGGCTGAGGCAGGAGAATCACTTGAACCTGGGAGGCAGAGGTTGCAGTGAGCCGAGATCGTGCCATTGCACTCCAGCCTCGGCAACAGAGCGAGACTCTATCTCAAAAAAAAAAACAAAACAAAACAAAAAAAAAAGCCCTTGATCATCTGACTCCACCAGCAGAGACAGAATCAATATCTCTTCTAGTCACTCATTCAGCCACGTCATTAATTGGTTAATCATTTGAATGAATTCATTCATTGACCAATCACTCCTTTTCCACTGATGTTAATTCCTTCAGCCACACCATCTTTGGATCACATGTTCATTCATTCGTTCCCTGATTCACTCCCTTAATCATGTGTTCACACTCCATTCATCTATTCTCTCTTCTGTTTCTGCCCCATTCATTCATTTGGCCACGTGATCATTCCGCCTCCTGGTCATTCATTCTGCCTAGGCGTGTTCATTTGGTCCTCCCTGTATGATTGCCCTCAGCCTCCTGCATGTGGCTGCACGCCCTTTCTGGAGCCTGCTGTAGGCACTCACCTTGTTGTCAGCACTGATGAGGAGGGGCTGAACTTTGATGCTGTCACTGACCACAGACACGGCGGTGCTGGGGGCCATGGCGGTGGCATTGCTGGGGGAGGTGGAGATGATGGCGTAGGCCACACCGGCACTGGTCAGCGGAGAGGCGAGGGCGGAGGGCTCGGCGAGGGCCTGAGGCTGGCTGCCGGGCGCTGGCACATGGCTGACAGTGTTATTGGCAGTGGGGAGGGCTGGGCTGGGGTTCTTGACGCTGACCACGGTGGCCTTCTGGAATGTTGGGGGCTGTTTGGGTGGCCGGTCCCGGCCCGGGGCAATGGGGAGGCTGTCTGGAATCAGAGTCTTTGGCCTAACCTGGGAAGAAGGGATAGGTGTGTGGTCAGACAGGTGGACACACAGGAGCGCAGGGGAGGGGCCGCCCTGGCTCAGAGACTTCCTGTATTCAAGGGGCGGGTGTAGCATTGGAAAGAGCAGAGCCCGTCACAGCCTCACAGTGGGTGAGACCTTGACCCCAATGCCTCCCTCCTCCTGGGCTTGCACCAACTGGCCACAGGGCTCAGGAAGGGCTGCTCTGGACCCCAGACCCTCGCAGCGGGGAGGATGGACACGAGGGGACAGTCTGTGCAGTAGGATGCCCTGCAGATCAAGTCCCAAGCAGCAAAGCCCCCTTTGGCCTTGGAAGTCTGGAAAGTGCTGCCCCTCGGCCAGGACTGCGAGGGGCTGCGAGGGCTGCTGGGCCCTGCCCAGTTCTGCTTCTCAATCTGGGTGGGGGCTGCTGTGCTCCCATGAAAACCACAGAGCTGGGCACAAGTGACTGCTACGGCACTCTTCGACAACAGTGAAGGTGTGCAGAGGGCAGCCATGGGCAGCCGGGTTCAGGCCAGGGCTCTGGACAGACTGTTTGGGGCCAATCCTGGCTCCTCTGGGGTCCTAGTGACACACCTGAACCGGGCCAGATCCCTCATGTGCATGGGGCGATGAGACGTACTGGGGGTTGGAAGAAAGAAAACACACAGGAAGCGCTGGGTGTACTTGACTGAGTGCCCAGCCCCGCACCCAGCAGTGTTCCTGATGATGGGTAGAATTCCCACCATCAGAGCTACCACCATTGACCCCATGCACGGAACCAGAAGCACCACGTGCCCCAGAGGAGGACACGCCAACCCTGGGAGGTCCATGCCAATATCACGTCCCTAGAGACAAGGGCATGGGTGTTGAGAGATGCTCAGTTTATGAATGTTGGTGAATGCTGGGTGTATGACAGAATATACTATTTGCCAGGAAGAGCGATGGCAAGAAAAACCTAGCCCTCCGCCCCAAGTGAAAACCTACTTGGGGCATTCCAAAGTGGCAGGAAAATGTGTACATGTCACACACCGGTTAAAACAATTCTTTAAGATATCTGACCCTGCCCCTGTGGCTCCCTCGTGGAGAATACCTTTTAGCTTGCTTGTTATCAGCGGTAAGCTGGCAACAGCTGCCTACTTTGTATATTTTTGTGTTATGAGAAAATACAGAACAGCTGTTTGTTAATAATAATCACCTGTTCAGAGAGACTAACTACATGGATGAGCATCTGCTCAAGCTTCAGCCCAGAATGCTGTCAGCCCGAGGCTCAGTTCTGCAGGCTGCTGGTCCCCCGGGATAGACCCACTTTGCTGTTCTCTCTGGGTGTCTGCCTCTCATTTCCTTCAGCGCCGTCTGGGTGGGGGGGGTCTCCCTGGTCGAGCTGGTACTTGGTAGAGGAGGAGGAGGACCACGACCTACCTTCTCATCTGAGCCCCGCTGCACCTTCACTGCAGAGTGGGCATCCCGTCCTATTCTACAGACGAGTAAATTGAGGTGTGCAGTGGAGACTCACCAGGAATATGACCCTACAGTCGTTATCATCAGGGCAGTGGGGCTTGAGCCAGGACTTGTACAAGCCTGTCTGGCATCAGTGAGGGCACAGAGGCTGTGCTGCCCCGCCCATCTCCTCCCACCCTGTGTCCAGTGGTGCATGTGGAGGGAGTGGTCCAGGGTGGCTCTTACAGGGCCCTGTGGTCTTGGGGAGGTCACCAGGGCACAGAGGGCTCTTCGGTCGGGTGGCATCATGTCTGTGAGCTCCCTGCCAGTGCCTGACACAGAAATGGCCCTTGAGTCTAATGATCTCTGTGTCCCCTGCTGTGCTGAATCCTCAGCAAAATGAGCCTGGCCTCCCACATCAGGGCCCTGGCCACACCACGGGCAGGCGATGTGACCAGCCTGGGTTCCTGCCACTCTGCCCTCCACACCAGCAGTCAGGGCTCTCGGCCCCCAGTGCCAGGCTTACAGCCCAACACAAACTTCAACGTCAAAGGCGGAAAACTTCAGAAAGAACCCTTCTTCTTAGTTCTGCCAGCCCTCAGCTGCAGACACCCACCCGTTGGGAAACTGCTGCTCTCCGCCTCTGAAGAGGACTGGCATGGGGGCGGATGGATGCCCCAGTGGTGGTCAGCGAGGACCTCAGCTGTGGCAGTGGCCGTTCTGTGTTCTGTCGGCACCTCCCTGGTATCTGGGGTTTACCCACGTGTTCCTGTTGCCCCTGGCCACCCACCCTATGTAAGCAGACTCTGGGCATCAGTGAGCCAGTGTGAATCAGATGCCAGACACAGAAACTAAGCTCAGCTGGGAGCTGAGGATCTGGCCTGAGCCACTCCAGAGAGAACACCTACGGGGGACCCTGGAGCTTACAGCCTTTCAGCCTGTGTCCCCCCCAGGCTGTGTGCAGCCCCAGGCCAGAAAGCCCCAGGGGCCACCCTGTCCTCGCCCTCTCTCCTTTCTCTGGGTCTATGGTCACCCCGCCAGGCTGGCTCCATCACAGCCTGCCTACTCTGATCCCTGAGAGCCTCCTGGGACAGCAGCAGCCGGCAGCTGGACCCAGCATGCACCAGACACATTCTGGCCTGAGCTGACCATCCTGGAGGCCAGCAGGCCAATGGCAGGTACAGACGTTTGTGGGGTGGGGACAGCAAGGATAAAACATGGAGACAGAGGTCCAGGAGGCAGAAGGGGGAGAGGAGGAAGGGTGGGTGCGGGGCGGAGGAAAATAGCACTGGCCCTGATTGGCAGCCTCTCCCTGGAGCCTCCCTTGCTCTGAAGCCTCATATAGCTCCCTGCTGCCCGCAGGTCACCAACTGGGGAAGCCTGCCTCTAAGGTCCCCAGGGGCCCCCGGTGGCCACTCCGCCTCCATGACTCCCTCAGTGATTAGATTCGGGTCTCTCCCTGCCACCTCTGCCTCTATTTCTCACCCTGTGCCCTCCTCCTGGGGGGTTCTCCCTCTGAGGCCTAACTCCACCTCAGCCTGCAATGTCCTCTCACCCTGAGGCCTAGCTCAAGCACTGCCTCCTCCAGGAAGCCTTTCTTGATGTCCAGGTGTGCAGCAAGCTTCCTAAGGGCTCCCGCCACCGCTGTGTCTCCTTCTGGCATGGCCCAATCACCCTGGGCTCACAGCATCTGTTTTTCCTTGTCTGTCCTCCCTCTAGACCAAGCCTGTCCCACCCACAGGCCACATGCAGCCCAGGACGGCTTTGAATGTGGTCCAAATTCAAACTTTCTTAAAACATTATGAGATTATTTTTGCAATTGTTTTCCCTTCATCTCATCAGCTACTGTTACTGTTGGTGAATTTTATATGCGGCCCAAGACAATTCTTTCAATGTGGCCCAAGGAAACGCAGATTGGACACCCCTGTTCTAGACTCTGATTCAGCTCAAGTGGGCACTTGAGGAAAGTTGCCATGTGGATGAGACGCCCAGGGCAGCCACCTCTCACCATCCTCTAGCTGGGGGAATCTGTCCAGCCCTGAAGCCCCAGGACAGGCAGGGGCCGTCTTGGTCTTTACCACTGGCAGCCCCTGGCCTAGTATGCTGTATTCAGCAGGTGCTCAACAAAGCTAAGCTTGTGGTACTAAGGGAATTGGTTAATAATTACCCGGCATTTGCTCTGTACCAGGCGTGGTTAAAAATGCTTTGTCCCCGGCCGGGTGCGGCGGTTCATGCCTGTAATCCCAGCACTTTGGGAGGCTGAGGTGGGCGGATCACCTGAGGTCAGGAGTTCGAGACCAGCCTGACCAAAATGATGAAACCCCATCTTAAAAAAAAAAAAAGAAAAGAAAAGAAACAACAAATGCTTTGTCCCCTGACAACCCTCATGGCCACCGATGGATGGAGCCAGCAGCTGCGCCAGTCCCTCTGCAGGTAAGAAGCCTCACCCCAGGAAGGGTGAGAGGTCAGGTGACTGGGGGAAAGGGTGGAGTTCAATCCGGGGGACCCTGGACTAGAAGCCAGGACACCTGGCCTGGAGTCTGTGCTGCCCCTGAAATGAATCCTCTCGTCCAGAGTGTCTCAAACTTCTTGACCATAACCCACAGTCAAAATATACACGTTATGTAGTCACCCAGTCTGGAAAAAAATTGTTCAAGTAATAATGCATAGGATGCATCTTGACATTTCCATTCTATTTCAGTCTGGCCTAATTTACTCCATTTTTAAAAATTCTGGTCATGACCCAATAATTGATTTCCTAATTCCTTGCTGAAAAAACTTACCTGGTCCAAATGTTGCCATTGAAGAATGGGTGCAGGAGGTAAGAGGGGAAGTTCCGGCTGAGAGGGCACGGGTTCCGCCTGTCCCCGTGCCCACCAGAAACCTCAGGGCTGACAGGTTAGGAACAGAGACTGTGGGGACAGACAAACGGACGCCCCAGGGCCCGCACGAGGGCTGCTTACCTGAGGTAGCACTGCCGCTCCTTGCCCGGCCAACCTCTGCAAGGAGCTGACCTGAGGACCCGTGACAGGCACTGCAGTGATCGCTCCCAAAGCCTGAAAGAGAGAGGCGGGCAGCGTTGGGCCCGGACGCACACGCGGCCCAGACCAGACACGTCGCCCCAGCCTCGCCAAGCAAGGGGCAGCTGCCTTGGGGACAGCAACTTCTATTCTTCCCTTTCTTAATTATGATTTTTAAAAAATCACAATGGTCATCGATATTCCTTCAAGAAAGTTTGGAAACTAGAGAAAGGAAAAGAGAGCACTGCCCAGAAACCAATTCCCCTTTGTTACACACTGGCTTCCTTTTCTAAGTGAATCTTTCACACAGCTATATATAGAATTTTTGTAACCTATTTTTCTACTTTCATTTAAGGACAAGGTGTGATGTCGCTCCAATCTTCATAAATCACTCCTTTAATGGCTACGGGGTCTTCCATTCAGCAGACATAATGGTATTTCCTCAGCCAGTCCCCTCCTCTTGGAAATTTGGGTTCTAGCCCCGTCTTTTTCCAGTTAGTAAACAATGCTGCGGTGAACATCTTTGTGGATAAATCCAGTTCCACATCACAGAGTATTTCTGTAGGAGAGTCTGAAAACAGGGATTCATGGGTCAAAATGCGGGAATATTTCTTAGGCCCTTCGTGCATATCTGCACTGAGTGCCTCAGGAGGGGGAATGACCAGGGTATGCCCCGACAAGCCCCTCAAATCCCAGCCCCCCAAAATGGGGGTCTCTCCAACACATGATGGGATGGTAGCAGGGTGCACATTTAGGGGAGGGGGAAGGGAGGCGACACCCTCCCGGGAATTCCAGGCCCACACACGTATAGGAGGTGGGTTTTGGGGTGCCTTGTCTAAAGTCTCCTTTTGTGGGAACCACCGCTACCCACAGCCCCTGATAGAGCAGTTATTATTATTTATTTTTGACATGGAGTCTTGCCGTCTCACCCAGGTTGGAATGTAGAGGCGCGATCTCGGCTCATTGCAACCTCCACCTTCCGGGTTCCAGCGATTCTCCTGCCTCAGCCTCCCGAGTAGCTAAGATTACAGGCACGCGCCACCATGCCTGGTTAATTTTTGTATTTTTAGTAGAGACAGGGTTTCATTATGTTGGTCAGGCTGGTCTCAAACTTCTGATCTCAGGCAATCCGCCCACCTTAGCCTCCCAACGTGGTGGGATTATAGATGTGGGCCACCATGCTCAGCCCTGATGGAGCAGTTCTACCTGGCCATCTTTGCACCCCACGAGCCTGGTGCCTGATGGGGAGAGAGGGACCCCTCACTCAGATCCAGCCAAACCATCAGTGGCCAGGGACCAGTGAGTTTCTCTCTTGAACTCAGATGCAGAAATTCATAACAGAATGTCAACAAACCCATTCTAACAAAAATGAAAAGGATAAGACATAATGAACAAGTTGTATTTACCCCAGGAATGCAACGCTGATTTGCCATTTGAAAGTCAGTCAGTGTAATTTGCTAAAATCACACATCTAAGAAGAAAAACCATATGCCAGTCTCAATAGATTTTTCAAAAAGCTGTAACGACTAATAAATGAATTTAGCAAGGTTGCAGGATAGGACAGTATATGAAACTCAGTTGTGTTTCTACACACTAGTCACCAACATTTACAAATTCAACAAATTTTAAATGTCATTTGCAATAGCATCAAGACATAAAAATGAGAAATAGGGATGAACCTGACATAGCTATATAAAACCTGTACACTAGAAACTTCAGAACATTGCTGAGAGAAATGTTTGAAGACTGAAGAAAGAGATAAACCCATAAACATGAATCAGAAGCCTCAATACTGTGAAGATTTCAATTCTTCCCTAATTGATCTACAGAGTCAACACAACAACACAACCTCAAATCAAAATCTCAGCTGGCTTTTTTTTTTTGAATAGAAATTGACAAGATGATTTTGGAATGCATATGAAATTATAAGGGACCTAGAAGAGCCAAAACAGCTATGGAACAAACAAAGGGAAAGACTTAACGTTATCTGATTCCGAGACCTGTTGTAAAGCTACAGTAATCAAAACAGTGTGGCACTGGTGTTAAGATGCAAACAGATCAATGGGACAGAATAGGGTCCAAAGTGGACTTATACATATATGGCCTATTGGTTTTCAGCAAAGCCCAAAAACGTAATTAATTTAGTACAAAAAAGAGAATATTTCAAAACGGTATTAGAACGAGGAGAGATCACGCTAAAATCAAACTTCAGGCCATACTACATACCATGTTTTAAAAAAAAGAGAACAAATGGATCAGAGAGATTTAAATGTAGGAACCAAAACTATAAAATTGCTTGAACATGTCAGAGAAATCTTTGGGATGTTAGGTCAGGAAAAGAATCTTAGATACAATACCAAAAACATAATTGATATAAGAGCAAAATAATAATTTAATTTCAACAAAATAAGAAACTCCCAAAGTTGGAAAGACAATGTTAGCAAAATGCAAAAAGTGGCCACTCGCTGGAAAAAACACATGCAAATCACCTATCTGATGAAAGCCTTGTATCCATAATATATGAAAGAACTCTCAAAACTCAATCATCTGAAACAAACAACTCAATTAAAAATGAACAAAATATTTGAACAGATACTCCACTAAAGAAGATATACTGGGCCTGTGTCTCATGCTTGTAATCCCAAAACTTTGGGGGGCTGAGGCAGGCTGGTCGCTGGAGGCCACGAGTTCAAGGTCAGCCTGTGTAATATAGTCTCTTAAAAAAAAAATTAAAAATTAGCTGAGCATGGTGGCATGTGCCTGTAGTCCCAGCTACTTGGGAGGCTGAGGCAGGAGGGTCACTTGAGGCCAGCAGGTTGAGGCTGCAGTGAGCCATGATTGCACCACTGCACACCAACCTGTATGACAAAGTGAGATCCAAGAATGAGAAGAAAGACGAAGAAGAAAAAGGAAGAAGAGGAAGAGGAGGAGAAAGAGGAAGAGGAGGAGGGAGGGAGGGAAGGGAGGGAGAGAGGAGGGGAGAAGAAGGAAGGGGAGGAAGGAAGGAGGGAAGGAGGGAAGGAAGGAGGGAAGGAAGGAGGGAAGGAGGAGAGAAAGGAGGGGGAACAACAAAAACAAAACAACTGCTGACGGCAATTAAGCAAATAAAAATACTTCACATAATTAGTTATTAGGGAAATGCAAATTAAAACCACAATAAGATACTGCTACAAGCCTATTCAGAAGGCTAAAAGTAAAAAGACGGACCAAATCAAGTGCTGGTGAGGACGGAGAGCAACTAGAACTCTCAACCACTGCTGCTGGGAACATCACTTTGAAAGACAGTTTGGCAGTGAAAAAGTTAAACATACGTATGGCAATGAACAGAATGTATGTGTCCCCTCCCAGATCCAAATGTGTAAATCCTAACCCTCAATGTGATGGTATTTGGAGGAGACAGGGCCTCTGGGAGGTGATCCGGTCATGAGGGTGGAGTCCTCAGTTGGTGCTCTTATAAGAAGACACACGAGGGGGCTTGTGTCTTCTCTCTCAACCCCTTTCTCTCTCTGCCGTGGGCAAATACACAAGAAGGTGGCCAGGAACAGAGCCCTCGTCAGGAACTGAGTCTGCTGGCACCTTGATCTTGGACTTCCCAGCCTCCAGAACCCTAAGAAATTGATTTCTGTTGTTTAAGCCAGAACCAGTCCATGGTATTTTTGTTACAGCAGCTGGGGCAGACTAAGACATTTACCATATGAGGCAGCCATTCTATTCCTAAGCATTCGCCAAGAGAAGGGAAGGCACCCGTTCATACAGAGACTTGTATGTGAATGTTCACAGCAGCTCTAGGCATCACAGCCCAAACTGGAAGCAACCCAAACGCTCATCAACAAGTACATGGATGAGCAGGCTGTGGTGTCTTCACACGACAGAGTATTACTCAGCAATAAAAAGGAACAAACTAGTGACACACACAATATGGATGAATCACAAAATAACGCTGCCAAGAAAACCCAGACGCTGAGAAAAAAAATCCACACTGTATGATGCTAGTCCTATGAAACTCGGAAAAGTGCAAACAACATGATAGAAAACAGATCCCAGGTTTTGTGGAGATGGTGTAGGGATGAAAGGAAGGGATTACAAAAGGATACCAGGATATTTTCAGGGAGAGAGGCGTGTTCACGATCTTGACTATGGCCAGGGGTTCACATTTGTCAAACTTATATTGTACGTTCTAAATATGTGCAGCTTACTGTCCATCGGTCATACCTCCACAAAGGTGTTAAAAATCCCCTTCCCACTTCTCGTCTTATCTCACATTTCTCTACCCCGAGAATGACTATCATCCATCCCCAAATGACACAGCAGAGGGTCTCAGGTCCCACGCACAGAGCTGCTTCTCTGATTATGTTCGGACAGTTCCTGCCTCCTCTTTGCCACCTGCCCCATGGAGTCAGTCAAGACCCTGAGAGGCTTATGTCGTCTGAGCCAGCTGCCTGCCTCTCGGCATGGAACCAAATGACCCACATTTCCCTGGACATTCACTCTGGACATTTGTTGAAACGAAGCTTTCTATTCAATGTGGAGCACGTGACAAACAGCCTCGGCCACTTGATGTGGCAGCTCTCAATCCACAACACTGCCTGTTGCTCTTGGCTGACATAGCCTGGCGAGCAGCACTAAGACCACCTCAAGTGCCACCCAACGCCCGCCTCTCCAAATGCATGTCTCAAAGACGGGGGGTTATGGGGACTGTCCTTGTTACCTTGAACGCCACCACCAGCATCCCCCCAGCTTCCACAAAGCAAGGTGTGGAAGGCTCTGATCTCCCTGCCCTGGTCTGCCAGCCAGTGCCACTTCCACAGCTGGTCATTAGTCAGGGTCCCAGGCCAGCCCAGACCATGGGGGTGGGAGGCCAGCAGGGGCGGCCATTTGATGAGCCAGGTTCCAGGTGATTTCACCTACCTGGGGGCCTCAGGCCCAAAGGAAGCAGGTCCTGTGGTGGGAGGGTCCATGCGGCATGTCCCTAAGGTGGGTTCCCGGATAAGCAGGTTCTGTGGAGGGACAGCTCATGCGCCACATCCCTGCAGTGG